ACTCCTGGTAGAACAAGGGTACAAAGGGACAGCCTAAAGTCCAAAGCGACACTCTCTCTTAGGTTAATGTTTGCTAAGTTACAGGAAGCACAAAGAAGTGGTCCAACAGATCCCAGCAAACTTGTGCAAGACAAGAATCGGTTCAAAACTGCTAGCACTCCCAGCCCCGTTTGCAACCTGAGGCGTCCACCTCCCTTCAGTGAGAGCCGTGGAATTTGTTTTGCTCCTGTCTGTACTTCTGCAGAGAGATGGGTCTGCTCCTGAAGATTTTCATCCCCTTGCTGGGACTGGCGCTGGCCTTTTATTTTTATTCAGCACCCGAGGATTTCAGTGAAGGTAAGTCATTGGAAAAACACGCTTTAAAACCACAACCAGAGAGGCTGCTGCCAGAGTGGCAGTGCGTGCCCACGCAGAAGAACACAGGCCATTTGAAGGGCCTTTCAAAGCACAGCTGGAAGAACCAAAGCACGGGAGAGCTGAGAGCTCAGAGGGGAGCGCAGGCAGTCCCCGGTGCAAGGAGTCAGAGCACCCTGTGCCACACAGGAAACCTCATGGGATTATGCTGGGGTCTGCCGGGACGCATGGTAAGTGTCGATCTCAGGAAATGATTTATTTGGGAAACATGCAGTTATCCACTTAAAGCATTTAATCATTTTATTAGTCAACTCTCACCATTCCCAAAAGCCGCTCCCAGACCAGGCTGGATGCAGAGCTCAACCCTCACACGCACTCCCCACCAAACTGAGATTAACCACCAGACTTCAGTCGGGGTTTGCATGAGCGGTGCACGCTGCGGCGGGGGTGCGCTGCTGCCTGCAGCTCCCTGTACCCAAAGGCGAGGGGCGGCGGGGGCAGAGAAGAGCCGTGGTGCCCGCGTGCGGGGGGACGGTGTGGGCTGCGCCAGCTCTGAGCCCTGCGCCCTCCTCCCCAGAGATGCTCCGGGGGAAACGAGTGATTGTGACAGGAGCCAGCAGCGGCATCGGGGAGCAGATGGCATATCACCTGGCACGCATGGAGGCCCACCTACTGCTCACCGCGCGGACAGAGGCTAAGCTGCAGAAAGTAAATGGCAAGCAGAGCGTGCTGGGCAGGCGAAACACACTTGCAAAACCTCACACGCGGGCAGAATGCAGATTTTCACCCTGGCCCAGGCAGGCGGGGATGCCAGATACCCTGCAGATCAACCCCAGCATGAGCCTGTTCTAACACGCACACACACCCCCACTGCAACAAATTGCATTTTCAATGCTGACAGCACAGCATTTCTTCCTCCACAGTCTTCAGCTGTGAATTCTGATTTCCACCACCAAGGACAACACTAGTCTGCCCAACCCTAGTCTGATCAACCCTTACCCTTTCTCAAAATCTTAACTGTTTTTGCATCCCATATACAACAGAATCAAAATTAAGCAGTCATGTCCCTATTTATAAATACTATATATTTGGCTCAGATGTGCCATTGTTTAACTCTGCAGCCAGAAACATTTGAGCAACAGGTCTCCTCCCATGAAAGGAGAAGGGTTTCCAGCAGGACAGGGAGATGCGCTGCCCACTCGCCCCACGACAGCGACAGCCTTCATGGGATGGGGAGGGTCCGTGGAGGGGAGGGTCCATCGCCAACGCCGCTCCCACTGTCACCGCAGGTTGTGGAGCAGTGCCTCAAGCTGGGTGCTGCGTCCGCCCGCTACGTGAGCGGCTCTATGGAGGACACCACGTTCCCCGAGGTGGTGGTGAAGGAGGCTGAGAACACCTGGGGTAGGTGGTGGGGAGCTGCCTCTCCTCACTCCCCAACACACCCCACGCTACATTTTGGGGCCATCCCAGCCACCAAGAAGCTGCTTTGGTTTTAGATGCTGGTTGCTAATAGTAAACATGCTCTGCTTCCAGGAGGCCTCGATATGCTCATCCTAAATCACATCGGTTACACCTACTTCAACTACTTCAATGGGGACGTTGGGCACGTACGAAAACTCCTAGAGATCAACTTCCTCAGCTACGTGGCGATGACCACGTCTGCCCTGCCCATGCTGAAGGAGAGCGAGGGCAGCATCGTAGTAGTTTCATCCATGGCAGGTGAGCACACAAGGGACCAGGCTCTCCCTGCCCACATCCCTTTCTCTGCCTGCAAGGGATCCCTGCTGCAGCTCTTCTTCAAAAGACAGAATAGGGACCATCAGGCAGAGAGCCACCCTGCTGGGAGTCGGGATCAGCATATGATTTATACCCTGGATGCACAATTCCAGTCCTCTGGGGGATTTATATTCTATGCCCTGTCCTGCTAGTCTCTTTGCACCCACTAATCAGTTCCATGCATTGCAGTCAATGGTATGCCACTGCAGGTTATTTTATGTGCATAGCCACATATTATACATGCATTTGGTATACATGGGTATATATGCAGGAATACAAGAACAGTATCACCTACAACTGAAGGTTCTTCATGCCATTGTATGCCGTATGTTACACTTTAAACATTCCTGCATTTGTTTGTTTCTCTCAAACATCCATGACATTACTCAGTCATCCTAAATCACAATATTGTAGCTACTTGAAGGGCAAGAGGAAGGGAGAGCCATGCAGCCTGGTGACTGCCCAGTACACAAACCCTGACGTTGTCTCTCTGCTCCAGGTAAAACTGGCACCCCATTTACAGCTCCCTATTCTGCAACTAAGTTTGCCTTAGATGGATTTTTCAGCTCCTTGCGACATGAATTCATCATAGACAAGGTCAATGTCTCCATCACACTGTGCGTCCTGGGCTACATCAACACAGGTAAGCCCAGCATCACTGGGGCCCCGCAACTCGGTGTGCTTCTAGACGGAGCCAAGCTGAGCCCACCACCCACCCTCCAGCCCCACCACTGCTGGACCCTCAGCCTGCAGTGGCTGTGCAATTGTGGAAATAGGACCCCAACTTTTTAAAAGTGTGCCACAAGACCTTTGATTCTGCTATGCCTTCAATAAACCTGGGGGAGGTGGGGATTCCATCCTACGGTCACTCAAGAGGTGAAAAGGAATGGGAAGGACATCGCTATAATTGTTATTTATTTTAACTATTCTAAGCCTTGTTAAGTAGGGCTGATCCCAGAGTCTGTTGGTTTAAAGGAAGCTACAGGCACCCCAACTGAGCCGGTGGTGCCTGTGGCAGCCCCTCCATCCGACAGTGCTCTTTCCCCCCCTGTACTCCCATCCCTCCAGAGAACGCCATGCGAGCGGTCTCGCACGCCATCCAGGACACGCCAGCACCGAAGGAGGAGTGTGCGCTGGAGATCATCAAGAGCGGGGTGCTACGCCAGCGGGAGCTGCACTACCCATCCCGGGTGGCAGGCAGCCTGCTCCTCCTTCTCCAGGGCGTAGCCCCCGACTTCCTTGACTCCCTCATCAGGAGCAACTATAAGGTGGAAAACATCAGAAGAACATAGCTCCCGGGGCGGTGAGTGCACCGGGACACCTTGGGCCAGGCACAAGGGATTTGGGTGTTAATCCGGCTTCTTGGGTGCCCTGTTCCATGCCACCGGGGCAGCTCCATGCTGATGCACTCTGGCAACCTGAGATGGGATGCTCCAGAAGCCTATTAACACACAGCATGAAAACGTCCTTTTTAGTAATGAACTCTTGCAACTGGCTTTTTCCAACCAAGAGGCACTTCAGAGAAGCTCCTGGCAGCAGGATCTGCTGCCGGTGTCCGGCTCACCAGCAGGTTTCCTGCTCAGCCTCCAGAAGCTGTTCCCCCACCGAAAGCCACGCAGGCAGCGGTGCTGAGCCCTGCGGGAAGCAAGCCAAGCCATGGCCCAGAATGAGGATTTGGGCCAAGCAGCACAAACCACCCAAAGCCATGAGAGGGTCTTTGAACCGGGAAATTTTTTGTCATATATCCCTTCTAGACTGGTCTTTGTAAAAATAAATCCTACATTACTTTACGAGATCTCTCGTTTTACTTGTGTTCCTTTTCCACATGCATAAGCACAGCGCCCTTATCAGCGCCCAGCTGGTTAAACTGACTTCCCTGCATGATTTGCATTAATACAGCTTTCACTTCTCTGAAGACCTTAACAAATTTCTGCCATTTGTGACCTCTCCTCAACAGCCAATACACACTTTTTTCCCTTTCCAATCTGCAACAAGCCTTAAAATAATAGCATTACTGTACTTCCCTAAGTCTGGATTTTGCTACCCCAAAGCAGCTTGGGGAGAGTCAGTCATCAAGTGCCACAAGCAGCTGCGTGAACCATCGCTCAACCTCCGTATGTTGGAGACCGATTAAAGGGAGATGGCCCAAAAGATAATTGCTAGCTCTGCTTAGAGAGAAGCTGGAGACTTTGGGGTCCCAAGATAACCCAAATCCCCCCACGAGCCGGGCCCCTGCGCCCCGCAGCCAGGCTGCGAGCAGAGACAGGAACCAGGGCTCGGCTGCAGCTGCAACATTTCCTGTTTTACAGAGCGAGAAAAAGAGCGAGAGCAGCAAAATGAGGTGGTTGGCATGAAGATGGCAGTTGGAGCGTGTTCGCACTTGATAACACCGTGCTTACCCCGCTCCTCCGCAGCGGTCGAGGGGTAGGACGGGACCCTTGGGCCAGGTAAGTCCCCACAGCACCGGGGCTGGAGAGGGATGGAGGGGAGCGGAGGCTGCCATGCTAAAGGCAGCAGCATGCACCTTTTTTCCTCTTTTTTTGCCCCGTTCTCAGCCTACTCGATTGACACCAGGAGGTTGTAACATGAACTGGCAAGAAGCACTTTTTTTTTTGTTTCCCTTGAAGCGAGAAGCATAACAGCTTGGAAAGCAAAGATAAAGGATGTCTGTTAATTAGAGAGCATAATTTGGGGCAGCAGAAGGAGGAAATAAGAGTATTAGCTTGTCAAGAAGGCCTCAACAGTTTGCTCAGCGTGGGGTGAGTAATGGACCGTGTATTTTTTTAAGCTTTACCTTGCTTTAAAGCACATTTTTGGTTAACCGAGAACATTAAGAGCTGTTGTTGGGATGCACAGTGACAGGCTGGGCAGCCCAGAGGCAGCACGGGTGGGAGAAGGGCTGAGGTATTCCTGACGGGAAGAGCTGGATGAGCAGAGACCAAGCAGGACACCCGAGGCCCAGATTCAACATGCAATTGGGTCATTCGTAAAATTAAGAAAAATTACTTGAAAAATGCTTTTAAAGTGTCCTGAAGAGTTTGGAGCCGGTTTGGCTGTAGATACACACTTGTCCCAAGCTATGGGGTTCATACCCAGCTTCAAGGCAGCACATCGCGGGGCACTGGCATATACCCAACTTGTGTTTCTGAAGCTCTTGGCCAGACCTTGCCTTGCCTGCTGGGCCAAGGAAAGCATGTGTGCGAGCACCGAGAGGGTGCTCAGCGGGATTGTTATGGTACAGATGCAAAAGCTGCATGAGAATAACCTGCTCAGTCTTTTATACCCCCAGACTCCTCCAGCTGAAAGTGTATCCTAATAAGAAACACCTTAGTAGTGAAACACTGTTGGGGTCATTCAGTAAATTTAAGCTAAAATTAATTCAAAGAAGAGAATATTCAAATAAAAATGAATAAAAGCACATAAGCAAGCGCTGTACTTCAGGGGTCTCTGAAGCCCACGTCCCACGCAGGCTCAGCGTTGGGAGCAGTGTCCTGGCTGCAGGTTTGCAGGCACCTGCCCAGAGCAAGAGCTGACCACCCCAAAAAAGCTTCTCTCTTTCCAAAGGAAGCCCCTACAATGAAAAGACAGCACTAGCAATGAGCTTTGGGTATGCCACAGCTAGCATAAGGACAATAAAAAAAAATTACGGCGCAGACATTAATGCAGACTAAAAAGCACGGAAGTAGTCTATATGTAAATGGGGTTTACTTGTTCCCATTTTTTTTCCATTAGACTCAACAACTTCCTAATTGCTTGAGACAGAATGAGCCCAATGAAGTTTTGGTGGTTTTGTTTGACACCAAAGAACATTTAACCTGAATTTTCAGAGACTAAAATTACCTTTTCCCCCCTCCTTCCTACATGAACATGATTTACTAAACATAAGAAAAGCCCCACACCTGACACAGCAGCTCCAGACTGAGCACCCCAGGGCCAGGCACCCCCCGAGCAACGTTCACGGGATGTGCACGGGGATGACGAGCCTCTCCACTGCCAACGGAGCAAGGGGACAGGAGAGGGGGACACAGCTTTCACTCGAGGGGAGGAAGGCAGAGGAGCAGTTGTGGGTAGTTACTGCTCAGCTTTCCCTTTAATTGACGCAGAGGCAAAGGCCCAGATACACTCCATACGACCAAAGTCCAGTAAAAAACAATGCACAGGTGGCTTGCAACTGTGCAAAGAAGTCAGCAGGAGGGAGGAGGTTTCATATCTGCACTCTGCGTGCACACGTTGACAGTGCAACAGTGCTGAAACCGAGGAGCTCCTCCTTCGGCCAGGCCACCGCCTTGTTTGGGCCACGAAATCCCCAAACAGAGGTAGAGGCAGAATTCATGCCTAAAGCAAACTGGTACCATTGAAAGCGTAACGATCAACCGCTATACTTGTATTTGCAATGAAGGAACCAAGCTGCAGCTTGGTGACACACAGACCCAGGGCTGCCGTCAGGAAGGCTTTGGGAGGACAAGTGAAGGTGAACAAGCAAAGGGCAAAGCATTACACAGCATCCGAGCTAGAGAGCTGGGGAGGGAGCGAGGGAGCAAAAAGGAGGCAAAAGAAAGCAGCACTCGGTAGCTGGGGTCTTCAGAGAGTGGGTGCGCAGGGACTTTGCCAGATACTCCATTGAAAAATACCTACAACCCTTCCACTGCTCCAGATCTCTCTGTGCACACAGAAAAGGCAGCCACTGCTAAGAAATATAACGCAACTGCTTGAAGAGCAAGTCACACAGCAGCAATACTATATTTGGACCTATAAAAAAATATTGGCACACTTAAAAGAAGTTTACTGCAGGAATAGCGCTATTGCTTTTCCTGCATTTTCATCATTTTCTTTAGGTTGGCTAAAGAGTGCGCACCAAAGAATTAGTCTGAATAACAGAGGGATTTTATTTTATCAGGAAAGCAATTCTCCCAGAGGAAGGAGTGGAAGCATCATTACTTGGTAGCAAAGCCAACTTCATGAGGTTGCATTAATTGTTTGAAATTCTGTTTCTGGCATCCCCCGGATCAGCACCACCCAACAGAGGAGCAAGAACAGCACAGAGTGTTTTACATAGCCAACACGTACGAGTTCACGGATGACAGATTTCTCCAGGAACACTGCTTGCATCTGTTGTATGAGGACTCCAGAATCAGCATCCAATACCTCACATGCATTTAATCTCAGAAATAACTAGTTTTCACTCAAATCATGTCTTTTCCCTTGGTTTCATCAGGACAGGGGGCCCCAGAGCGGACAGGGCAGTCACAGACGGGCAGTGCTGTGCCCAGCATGATCAGCCAGCCCGAGAAGGCACGGCGGTGGCACAGGCGCGAGAGCTACGATGAGAAGTGTGAGCGGCGGCACGAGACGCGGGAGACCCTGCGGCACCGAAACAACGTGACGACCTGCCGCCGCCTCAGGAGGGGAACGGAGGAGCCGTCGCAGAGCCCCCGGCAAAGGGAGTTCCTGAGGAGAAGAAACCTGGCGAGCGATGCTGGAAGGACACCGCCGGGACAGGAGCCCGAAGCACGCATCCCCCCGGACCCCTCCTCGCGGGTGGAGCCAAGACCACCCGTCCTGCTCCAGGTAACGCCAACCCCCGGAGCACAGCTCAGTGCTCTGCCTGCTCCAGCTAGCACCCACTAAAGCATTGGCAGCCTGTCCACCGATTGCAACAGCATTGGTATCCAAATCAAAGTACAGCCAAAAAGTGAGAATGCACCAACAAAAATGTGTATTTCCTTATGAACTGCAGAGTCAGGCACGGATAAACGCTGTCACCTCCCTCCCGGCGCGCTCCTCTCCCATTTCCAAACCCTAAACTTTGCTAACCTTGAACCAGACAGAGATTTTCTGCCATTCCTCCAAGTACAACCCCACATCCTAGCTGCCAGATTACAGTTTTGCACTTGCACAAATTATTTATACCCTTGAAAACTGAGCTCTAAACACCTGGCTTCCCTCCACCACCTTTGCTGTTAGCAGGAAGGGTGCAGGAATTAGGAGGCTCCCCGGTACTCATTACCTACCCTGTGCTGCTCAGCTAACAGCAACCCAGAGGAGTCACTGCCTTGAATAACATCTATAGAAAGATGCAATGCAAAACACCCCGCTCTGAGCGCCTAACAGATTTCCTTCTAAACTTATATCCCGTGCAAAATCAACAATTCCCCTGGTACATTGTGAGTTCATCCTAGGGGCTTCACAAACCGATGTGAGCAGAGGCAGTCGAACACGGGATGACTTACAAACACAGGCACACCCTCAAGCTCCCTTTGCAGCGCCAGAGCGTGCAGAGCAATTACCCACC